ACGGCAATTTAAAATAAAATAAAATAAAATAGCTAACATTACTTAACCAAGATTAATCAATAATAATAATACCCATTAGTTACCAAGACAACGGTAATTTAATTAATACCGCACTACGATTAACGTACACGACAATGTCTAAATATTAAACACGTCGAACTCGGTACGATTACGTTTTCGAATCCGCGCTTTGCGAAATACGATCCAACAAAAATTTCTACGCGTTCGCATGAATACTAATTTAAATAATACTTAGCGTTATATCTAAGTATCATTTTCAAACATAGAAAATTTCTAACGTCACAAACATATTATTACGAAATTTCCGGATGTCACAGAGACCTTGCAAAGAGAGGAATCTTGATCGCCTTGTCATCGGGTGTTGTGTCATAACCATGATTTGATATTGAGAAATAGATTAATCGATAGAATGGACCATTGATATTGGATTTGATATGAGATTGATCAATGGACTGAACCATTGATGTTTGTTATGATATTATGGATTTAAGGAATGTTTCTGATATGTATATGATTATATTAAAGTGATGTAACTCATTCTGATTTGTATGTGTATTATATCAAAATTTTGAGATAAGTGAGTACTGATATTGTTTTGTAAAAATGCATCGTGGATGCTCGATCTGCTTAGCGTCTGTTTAGTAACGTTTATGTTTCTTTGTTTTTCTGTTCTTTTGTTCCTCGGAACAGAAAAAAAAAGAAATATGTTTAGTAACGTCAGTTAGTTTTTTTGTTTCTCGAAACAGAAAAGTGGTCAGGGAATAGATTTGGAACAGAAATAAGAAGTAAAAAAAAACTTACTTTTCTGTTTCTGGAACAAAAAGAGAAACAATAGAAAAACAAGATCAACTCTCTTTTTCTTTCACAAGATATTCTTGTACTAAACTCTAAACCCCAAATCTTAAACCCTAAAACCTTAAACCTTAACCCTTAAACCCAAAACTCAAAACCTTAAACCTCAATACCCAAACCCTAAAACCCATAACACTAAAATCAAAAATCCGAAACCCTAAAACCCAAATCCCTAAACCTTATAAACCTCAAATCCTAAACCCTAAAATCCCAAATCCAAAACCCTAAACCCCAAAACTCAAAACCCGAAACCTTAAAACCTAAACCCTAAAATGCAAAATCGCAAAACCCCAAACTCTAAACCATAAACCCCAAACCCTATACCTTAAAATCCAAAACCCAAAACCCAAAACTCTAAACCTCAAAACCAAAATCCTAAAACCCTAACCCCTAACCCCAAATCCTAAAATCCTACACCCTAAATTGCAATTTCCTCGACCACCACCTGGTATTTGCTTTGTCTATAAGGAGTAATTTTCTTTATGATTGTATTAAGGTCATCCAATTCTATATCATAATATATTATTATTCTATTTCTAGTCTAATTTTATCCAAACATGAATTGTTAAGTCTCCTAAACTGCAATTTCCTCGACCACCACCGGTATTTGCTTTGTCTATAAAGAGTAATTTTCTTTATGATTGTATTAAGGTCATCCAATTTTATATCATATTGTATTCTTATTCTATTTGTAGTCCAATTTATCCAAACATGAATCGTTAAGTCTCTACCGACAAAATTAAATGAAAAAAATTAGGAGTAGAAATTTTTAGTGTCCTACCAAACGCATTTTTGTTCTTTTTCTACTCCGGGAATAGAAATTTTATGCAGTTACTAAGGACGCGTTTGGTAACGTTTCTATTTCTCTGTTTTTCTGTTCTTTTGTTCCCTAGAACAGAAAAAGAACAGAAATCCGTTTGTGTACGTCAGTTAATTTTTCTATTCCCCGGAATAGAAAAGTGGCTAGGAAATAGATTTGAAACATAAATAAGAAGTAAAAAAAATCTACTTTTCTGTTCCTAGGAACAAAAAAAGAAACAATGTCATTTTAGAGAAACAATTTCATAAACCATTAAATCCCAAAACCCCAAACCCTAAAACCCTAAACCCAAAACTCCAAACCCAAAACCCTAACCCACAACCCCTAATCCCCAAAACCCCAAAACCCCAAAACCCAAACCCTAAATCCCTAAACCCAAAAACCGAAACCTTAAATCTTAAAACTCTAAACCCCAAACCCTAAAACCCGAAATCCTAAAACCCAAACCCTAAAACCGTAAACCCTAAAACCTAATACCCGAAACCCCAAAATCCAAACCCAAACCCAAAATCTCAAAACCCTAAATTCCAATCCCAAACCCCAAAACCCTAAAACCCTATCCCAAAACCGAAAACCGAAACCCCAAATCCTAAAACTCTAAATCTAGAAACCCCAAACCCTAAAACCCGAAATCCTAAACACAAAACCCTAAAACCCAATACTCGAAACCCCGAAATCCAAACCCCAAACCTCGAACCCCAAAACCCAAAACCTCAAAACCCTAAACCCTAAATCCTAAACCAAACCCAAAACCCCATACCCTAAAACCTTAAACACAAAACCCTAAAAACCTAAACCATAAATGCTAAACCCCAAACTCCAATTTCCTTGACCACCACTTGGTATTTGTTTTGTCTACAAGGAGTAATCTTCTTTATGATTGTATTAATGTCATCTAATTCTATATCATAATATATTTTGATTATATTTCTAGTATACTTTTATCCAAACATGAATTGTTAAGTCTTCACTGACATTTTTATAATTAAATGAAAAAAAAATTGGGAATAGAAATTATTTTGGTTGTACCAAAAGTATTTCTGTTCTTTTTCTATTCCAGGAATAGAAATTTTGTACAGTTACCAAACACATTCTTTTGCTCATAAACCCATCCTGGAAATAGAAATAGAAAAAACTATTTCTGAAAGGAAATTATTCCCAGAAATAGAAACATTACCAAACGCGCCTTAAACGCGTTTTTTCGCTCAAAAACTCGTCCAGGGAATAAAAATAGAAAAACTATTTCTGAACATAAATTATTTCTGGGAACAAAAACATTACTAAACAGACCCTTAGAAGAGATGTACTTCTCATTAAGCTGTGGTTGCTCATTCCATTTATCTTACTTGATTTTCAGGTTCTTCAACTAGTTGCAAATAAGATGAGAGCATTTATGTTGTCAATAAGACATTTTGAATATGGGATTTTTAGGTGTGAGTTGTTTATATTTGAGATGAACTTGTAAGTTTAGTTGTCAGATAGAGATGTACATATTCTTTTTGATGGATTATTGATGTTGTATCCAACGTGTTGGTTTATCATATATATATATATATATATATATATATATATATATATATATATATATATATATATATATATATGAATTGAGATATACATTTTGATAACATGTTGCTGGTTATGTTTGAGGCTGCGTCCTTTGGGAGGAAGGACAGCTATATCATTCTCCCAATTCTTGATGGATTCGGGGTGTGACGGGTATAGCCGTTTTTGCCTCTACACTGCTCACCTCGCTTACTGCTCTTGAGTTCTCGCGCAACGAAAACCCACCATTATCATATGCGAGGTGGGGCAAGGATGAATGCGGCTATTATATTCTTTCGTTCTAAGTTCCTTAACCTTAAAATTTTTGCAACATTTGATACAGGGCATATACCTTAAAAAAATTCTAAACTATGTCAACTGTGACACAAATACCCCAAAGCTTTTTTTTGTGTCACCAAAAACTCTAAACTTTACCCCAAACTTTTTTTGTGTCACCAAAAAACCCAAACTTAAACATGTGTTACATATATACCCTCTATTTTGAGGAAAAAAAAGACATACACATATATCCTCTATTTCAGTTCCATCAAAGATATTTTTATCACAATGGTTTAAAATTCGGGGCTTTTAATAACACAAAAAACAGATTTGGGGCATTAGTGTCATAATGGGCAAGTTTAGGGATTTTAGTAACACAAAAAAAAGTTCAGAGTATTTGTGTCAAAGTGAGCATAATTTGGAGGTTTTTGTGGTATTAACCCTTTTGATATATCTTGTATTTCCCTATTTTATTCTTAATTAAGTAATAAAGACCTTTTAAAGTAAACTATCATACTCGATTCTTCAATGCACCAACTTTTTAACTGGTTTCCCGGGTAAGTTATTCTTTACATCTGCATATCTTCTATCAATTATTATGTCTGATTGTCAGAAAATTTTGAAGTTGAAGTTTAACGTGAGGTGGGCCAAATAGGGCACATCGCACGGTGCTCACGCAGTTTGTCTCAACCTATCTCAATCCCGGATGCATTCCTTATTCACATGCATCATAGGTTAAAAAACAAATTCGTACATCAATGAGAGCACCATATAAAAGCAGAGGATCTTCATTCGATATAGGGGAGACTCGGTCGATACTCGAATAATGGCAGGACGGCCCGCTCTGCCCCCCATTGCCAACCTTAAAAGCAAGGGTGCGAGGAAATGTGGGATGTAGCCCCAGAACGCTGAAGCGTGAGACAGTCCCATTTTGGAGACCGACAAGGCTAAGGTGATTTTAAGGAGGTCTTCACGTGGTTCCACCGAGGTAGCTGGTCCCATGAAATCTTGTCTTTGATGACCTTGTTGTCTTTTACCCTACCTAACCACAGCATCACTTTTTATGAATCGTTGCACTGCAATTCATCATAGGATCTGCACCAAACAGCGGGTACCAATAGAAATCCAGAGCAAACTTACCCTTTCAATTGCCACTAATAGAACCCAATGTGTCAAAGCAAAATTTGATCATTCCCAGTGATCTAATTTCCAGTGACCTTTTGCTCTTTCAAGCACTTCGAGTAAATGGAGTTGATGATGACCTTCTGTCTAACCGAGCATTATTGCTCATAGATGCATTCTAAATCAAATCTAAAAGATTGTTTCGATCACATACATCAAGAATTAGTGCTATCTTCCGCGCAATTCGCGACGGGCCTCACTCAAAAGAAATTCTTTTTATTATATAATGTTTGGTTTTATTCATCCATAGAGCAATATATTATTGGGACTTTCGGACTAATTTACTTCAACGGACGTGAAGTAGTCAAATGCGAGATCACATGATTGAAGACTTTGAGAAAAGTTCAAAGACTCCTGAAAGCACACCAATGGAGCACCAGAAAAGATACTCCCTTTTGTCACCATATTCTTGACCACATAGGTCTTGTGCCTTCTCCATCATTTCTTGCCTAGTAAAGTTACACGAATATAATACACTGAAAATGACTTTATGACGAGTGCAAAAACTATAAAAAGCCAAAAAAAAAAAGGGGGTGAAACCACTCATGCATGACAAGTTGGTTCTGCCTCTTCAAGCTCAATCCCTTCATCACCCAGCCTCTTGTCCCTGTACACATACCATTTGGCGCACACCAAAAATATCAAGAAGTTGAGTGCGCTCAGAATCGCTAAGAGCCAATAGAAGTCGTACAGCTTCCCTTGGTTGAGATTATCAGCTAGCCACGGCTTCTTGCTTCCGGTCACCTTGTGGACTATAGTGACCAGAAGTGAGCTGAAGAAGAACCCTAATGACAGGGTGCTCAAGAACAGCCCTGTGCTCATGGTCTTCATTCCTTTAGGACACTCCCTTAGGAAGAAGTCCAATTGCCCGATGTACGTGAACGCCTCGCCGGACCCCACGAAGAAGAACTGGGGGACCAGCCAAAACACGCTTAGCGGGATCACGGTGTTCGGGTCATCCGTCAGGCCGTGCGATCTGGCAGCTCGCAGTCGCTTGATTTCCGTCAACGCGGCGGACACCATCGCTAATAACGAGAGCACCAGGCCGACCCCAATCCTCTGCAGTGGGGTAAGTCCCTGTGGATTCTTGAGCAATTTTCGGGTCAACGGGACGACGACCTTATCATAGACGGGCACGGTCAGGAGGATGCTACCGACGAAGAAGACGGTCAAGGAGGCGGCGGGGATTTGGAATGACTTGCCGATGTGGCGGTCCATGGTGGTCGCTTGGGAGACCGAGAAGGTGGTCATCTGGGCATAAACGGTCCAAAACATAATGTTGGTGGCCCAAATGGGCAACATTCTGAGGACTAACTTCACTTCTTCCACATCAGTTAGGGTTGACAAGTTCCACTTATTCACCTCACCGACGCCATCAGGCATTTCTGAGGGTTTGATTGCTGCCTTGTCCAAGAATCTGCGGGGACAAAATATCCACGAAAAGAAATTCAATTATCAACCGTACATGATTTCGGCAATTCGCAATTATTGGAACAATGGGCCAATGCAACATGCATTCTTTTGGGAAAAGACATCATGATGAGGCAACCAATTCGTCCGATTCGATAGGCAGCTTAGACCTAGTCATGTGAAAAGCTTGCATAAGATTTGGAGGCTGTTTGAGGTGAATCCATCTGTAATTCTTTCTTTGACAGTTGATTCAGCCTCTAACTCTTCTTTTCAACATTTGAAATCTAATTTCCACTGGTATTGGCCATGTCAAATACCTAAAAATACATAAATAACGTAGAGCGGGCGATTCATATTTCTGTCATTATATTTAACGAAATATCTACTTTTAGGGTGAAAGTCATAAGACTTATTGAAAAGGTTTTAAGTCTCCCGAATAAATATTATTGTGATGGAAAATTGGATATTTTGAGAATCTACGTGTCTCTATCCTATGGCTATAATTCCGAAAACCTTGTGTCACAAATAAGACTAAGAACTTCAAAGTTTCCAAGTAAGTTTAACTTCTAGATGATGATGACGTGCAAGAAAACAGACTTAAGGCAGAAATATGAACACAAGAAAAAAGGAGCAAGACTTGAAAATTAAGCCAAAAAACGCCAAGAGGTCCGCGAGTTAGCTGGGGAAGGTCGAGAGCGAGGACACGAAGCATGAGGATCAAAATCAATTCGGGGACAGACTGAATCGGTAGCTCGTGATTCCTCTTTCTAAATTAAGCAATCATTAATGTTATTTAATTGACTTCTCGTTGTTTTTACCTGCTGTGGGAGTGTGATTCTGCAGAAACATATACTACAGATGATATAAAAATTAAATAATATAAAACCCGCTGTCTCTTTTTGACATAGCAAAAGCTTCGCATAGTAATCCAATATGCAGGGTTTCTCCAGGATTCTTTATGTTAGCTCAACCTAGTAAGTTGGACCACTACACGAAGTATTCACGAGGAAAGATACACGTATCCAATCAAGATTGACCATATAAATTAGCAAACTCCAGCACATAAATGAACAGCTGTTCTATATGCATATACTATGATGTTGGCTGTCGATTTTCTCTGAAACTTTTGCAGCTGGCACGAAAGTGGAGCAAGAACGTGTGAACATTCAAAGTGATTCATTGAACGTGTCTTCCCCAATTCGTTTTCATATGTTAATCATTTATGGGCCGAATACCGATGCTCTTTTGTCCTTTTGTCCAAGGTGGGGAGCTACTTTCCCTTTCCTTGGGTAATTGAGAGCTGTGGATAAAGTCAGAGAAAATTATTGTCACGCATCAGTGAGCCTATCCCACCAATCAAAAGGGTCATTAGATAAACACTAAAACGCTGACTGACGTAAGACCCCCAATCAATAATGTACTTTTTTGACTACGACTTCAGATCTTCATTTCAAAGACGTCCTCTTCTCCATATTAGTCTGTCAATAAACCAACTTTTGTTGAAAGTTAGTAGGCTTAATTTGATAAAATGCTTGCAAGCTAATCTATCTTTGTATTTTGATCTCACTTGGCTAAGGATCTAACTTATGATTCCACACATCACTTGTACAAAGCGTGAGGAAACTGCCTTAATGGTCTAGCAAAACTATGTCTCTTTTAAATTTGTTCCGAGGAAATATTAATAATTTAAAGAAAGAGTCGAACGATTTCACGTATTAATAATTTTAAAATATGTGAGTGATTAGATCTAGATTAAATAAAAAATTTAAAAAAGTAAATATGATTGTGGACATACTTAAAAAATGAAGATGAAACGGGACCTTTTGACAGTTAAACATACAGTTAGGAGACTCAGTCAAAGAGGATCATCGTTACTAACCTGAACTGCTTGCTGTGAGGCAGCTTCTGCTTCTTCTTCTTCATCACATTCCCATCACATGGCAGATCATCCACATTGAAGAGCAGCGAAGTGTCCGACGGCAACTCCAACTGCCTCTTCCTCCAAGCTGTGATAAACACGGCGGCGATCTGCGTCAACGGACTCCCAACGAGCGTCTTGAACCTGTACCTCCTCGTCCCGGACAAGAATACGACCAGCCCGATGACGATGGCGCAGGCGCAGATCCCGTAGCCCCACTGTCGTCCCAGGTTGTCCTGTATGTAGACAAGGACGGTGACGGCAGCGAGCGAGCCGATGCTGATGAAGAAGAAGAACCAGTTGAAGAAGTTGACCATCTGGGATTGCTCCTTCGGATCCGACTCGTCGAACTGGTCCGACCCAAACCCGGACACGCTCGACTTGAGGCCGCCGGTCCCGAGGGCCAGCGTGTAGAGCGCCACATAGAGAACCGTCAGCTGTGTGGTAGTCGCCGGCGTGCACAGCTTGTCAGTGTTCAGATTGCACTTTGGGGGCTTCAAGCTCGGGATTATGGTTGATATCGTCAAGATTGTCACACCCTAATAAAAAGACAAAAAAAAAACATAGAAATTAGTGACAACTTGTTTCCAATCATACTGATAAAGTTTATTTATTTATTTTTCTGAATATTCGAAGCATTTTATTTGAGGGTACATGTAACGTTAAAAGATAAACCGTGGTAATCGAGAAGAAGGTCCTACTGTTGCTTGAATTGTTGCGAATATCGCAATGGTGAGGTACCTGTCCCAGCCAAGAAGAAGAGCCCAAATTAGTGTTAGAGACTGACTCAAATAGATCCACGGAGGACCGTGTCGCAGCAAGCGTACCTGCCGAGGAAGGTGTCGGCGACAAAGCCGCCGAGGAGGCAGAGCATGAAGGAGGTGCCGAGGAAGTTGGTGACGGTGTTAGCGGAAGTGGCATTGCCCAAGTGCATCGTCCCGGTCAAGTACGTCACCAGATTCACTGCTACTCCAAGTGTGGTTAGCCTCTCACAGGCCTCTCCTCCTATAGTGAGAAAAAAAGGAGAAAGAAAACCACTCAAAAAATAATCGAAGAATAATCTATGAAAACAAATAACAGGAGGGCAGGGCGTTGTCTTCAAGACCTAAGATCATGGCGGCACTGGTCCAGCCGCCGGTGCGGGACCGATCGGCCGTGCGGCCCTTGTAGTCCCAGGCATCAGGGAGGGTCTTGCCTTGCGTTTCAGGGAGAGACATGCCGTCGTCAACGAAAGCGGAGCTGCTAAAAAGTTCAGACTATGTGTGTGTGTTGTGGGGAGGAGTCTTTGTGTGTATTTTTGTGGTCGATATAAGCAGAGAGAGAGAGAAAGGAGAGCATAGTGATATACGAGAGAACGCGAGATCGCTAGTCTCATTAAACGGTGGGGAATTTATAGTCGGAGCTCCCGAGGCCCATGTCTTCACAATAATCGAGCAAGCTGCCGTTTTTCATTTATATCTTGAAGGTACTACATGACAAACGCTAATTCTCGTTCCCTCTATTAATGTTTCTCTTTTCTTTTTCATTTAAGGATTGAGGAAATCTTTATAATACAATATCAGATCCGTTCTAGGGTTTTGTTTGTGGATACCAAAATTCGATTGATTGGCATTTATTGTCTCTGATAGTTTAAGAAGATACTATCTTGTTGGACTCGCGGTTTGATTTGGGGGAGGGGGTTTCCCTTCCAAATCTCTCTTGTTTAACAATACTTAATGACATTGATGAGGAGGAGAAGTTGAACAACTTGTTGATTCTTTTCTTTCCTTTTGGTGGATCAGCCGTGCAGATATGAGAAAGCATGTCCAAGAAAGGGGAGTAAAGAAGTACAATAATGCATGATCTCGATGGGTATTTCCAGTTCATCTGGGATCTCATTTTCAACTTCACATGCATCTACAGTTCAAAAATCAGCAACATGCGCCATGTGAGGTGGAGATAGTGCCATAACACCACAAACATACATCTGTGGTCTATGTCTTCCTTTTAACCATTGGGACATGAAGTGTTATTGTCAGAACAGCAATAGGACAGCACGGTTTCATGAAACTCGTGGGATTCGCCATCTTTTAAGTCATACTAAAGAAAAGAGTGCACTTTGTGTATGGAAAAAACAAGAAGAAGAAATAAACAATTTTTTTGCTTATTTTAATAAAACAAAATCCAGAAACTTGAACTCTAATTATCATAAATGAAAGAGCCTCTTTTATAGATATAGACAGATTTTCTGAATCTTTTATCTTATAAAATCACTTCTTGTCATTGGAATTCGTTGTATAATTGCTACTCAAGTTGAGGACTGACATGGGTGTTAACGGTACTTTCTATTTTAGAAAAAAAAAATTGAGATTAAAACTTAGGTTGGATTTACTTTCAATACAATAGAGATGGTATATGCGATCACGAGCAACTTTAGAGAAAAATGATTCGAGAAAAGGATTTATATGAGAGCGAAAGATATTAACCTAAGACTTTATTAGATGGTTGGTTTGTTCAATATTTAAATGCTCAGAAGCATCATTCATCATGGTGAAACGGAAGACATCTTTATTGATAGCTGAAAATGACTAGGGGAATAAAAAAGGAAAATTGTCCAAAAAGTCCTAAACTTATTGCAGTTTGGCCAATTCATTGCTAACACTTTTAGTTTTGCTAATTGAGTCCTAAACATTTTCATGTTTTGCCAATTGAGTTCATCCGACCAATTTTAGCTTGAATTCACTGACATGGAAGCCGGCCGTCCTAGGTAGCATGGCCAGCGCTGACATGAACAATTATATATTTTTTCTTCTTTTTCTTTTTTCGTTCCAAGCCTAGCAAGGGTTGCCAGCCAACCCTCGTCGGTCATAGGAAAGGGCCAGCCGACCCTTGCCGACCTCGGGCGAGGGTCGTGGGCCGCCGAGGGTTGGCCGGCCCTCGCCTATGGTCGACGAGGGTAGACTGGTGACACTCTCCGGACTTGGTAGAAAAAAAAAGGAAAAGAAAGAAAGAAAAAAGAAAAAAGAAAAAAAAAATAAAAAACCAATTTTTTCAAAAAAAATTATAAAAATATTGTTCACTTCAGTGTCGGCTATCTTACGTGGCACTAGCGATGTTTACGCCAGCGATTTCCGATTAAAATTGTCTGGATGGACTCAATTGGCAAAACGTGAAAATGTCTAGGGCTCAATTGATACAATTAAAATGTTTAGGACATGATTGATCAAAGTGTAATAGGTTTATGACTTTTTTGACAATATTACCGTATAAAAGACATTTATTTTTCCATACCCTAAAACAAGCAAACCTTAACGCCCAACTTGTATATGTCATGAATCCAAGGAATTTCATCATAAACTTGTCACAAACAAGCTAGTACATCCTATGAATCCAACATGGCGTGCCAATCTTATATCAGAGGAGAAGTTAAAATTCCTTCGTTCCAGGCCCCTAGAGTAAAATTGACAAACGAACATGATCTGTTTCACGTTTTATGATCCGACAGGCCTAAACGTGAGGACCATCTTATTGAAGGTCATGAGTTTTTTTTTTTAGGTCGAAATTTAAGGTCATGAGTTTATCGACCCCACGTAATGAATGAAAACATATGCGGTTAGAATGAAGGAAGAATCGTGATCAAAATCCTTTGCCGATGATTCCATTGTTGCTTCGCGACCATGGGATTGTAAAGGTCATGCGCCATTGCTAACCCTACCAAACCATCATGTCAATGTCGATGAAGACAACTCCTCTTATGCGCAACACCGCAAGATGCGTGTAATGCGACCCTTAAATGACAGTCTCTTTCGCTAATTATATGGCGAAATAACGCAGTACACGCCGCCTCAAACAGTTGATCTTTATATCAAAGTCTGAAAAAAGGAGTGAGATGCTTATCAATTCCTCATCCCGTTTCACCCTTTTTGATTTAACCCGAGTTGCATCAACTTTCTTCTTCATCAAGGGGGCCCGTACGTTGCTGATTGATCGAAAAGAGACACATTAGCCAGGTCATCACATGATTAAAGGAGGGATAGATGTGTTTTCTTTTCTCCTATTAAGCCCTGTTATTCTAAAGAATTAGAGAAAGTTTGACATTATTGTGATGATTGCCTTGTCTTCATTGGTTATTTGTAGCGATGTTTTCAAGCACGCACACGATTAGCTTGATCCTGCGGGTGAGGCCCAAAAATTTCTAAATGAGATTAATAAGACTTCTGTGACTCGACATAGTAATTTGATGATAAGTTTTTGTTGCCTTTGAAAAGGAAAAAGTGGAACCTTATCATAGAAAGTATATCGAAACAAATGACCCAATGGAAATTATGCCTCCAATGATGCTCTTTGATTCTCCCAAGTCAATCAAGAATTTCTCATTCTTAGCACATCGAATTCTGTCCAGATAGTCAAGTAAGCAAGAAGTACATAATTTTCATTTTTTGGGTCTTGTACCCTGACAGATTTGACTTTTGATATAAAAAAGACAAATATTAGTTAGTTCTGACAGTATTCTATTCTATGGAATTTTTTTGGTCGAAATTCTATTGTATGATTTAATTTTAATATATGCTGTCGTTCTTATTCTTAAGCATTTTATAGAAGTTTTCATGTAAAGCCATTTCAAGCATTTATTCATTTACAAATGGGTCAAAAGATTTAGTAGTAACAAGAACTTGTTACACTTGAAGAAATTATTGATAATAGCATGAAATGATTGTACACATACATATGGAAAGACAAAAATATTTCAATATTTAAAATTCTTTTTGGTAAGGTCACTCATATAAGATAGAAAGAATCAAATTTTAAGATTGAAATACATGATTTATAGAAGAGGATTCTTAATTTACATTTCTGTCCATTACTAGAATACTTAGAAAATGACTCTATGAGGAAATTTTGGGAAAGAAAAAAGGATCACGATCTTCTAAAAGTATGGGGTTCTCTTTACTTTATATTTAAAATAGATCATGTATGATGATCTAATCAAAGGGTATGCTAATGTCTCTTCTTACGTGACGAAATAATAACACCTCTTTGAATTTACGCATGGAACTTTGATATGCTAATGTCTCTTCTTACGTGACAAAATAATAACACCTCTTTGAATTTACGCATGGAAAAACGTTTGACCTCTCTCTCTCTCTATATATATATATGGATATACACAAATGCACGAGCGCACGCATGCACAAACACTCCAACAATTAGTACCTTTATTTGCACAAAATCAAAGTAATAAATCTCTTCTATGGAGGTAAGTCGAACCACTTCTATTTACTTGTGATAAACAAGTTTATAATGAATAATGACACAAATGATTGCTGAACTTTAGCTCAATGTGTAATGTGGTCTCCTGAACTTTAAGTCTATTAAATATTATCCTTGAACTTTCGCCCAATGTGCAATACCGTTCTTAAACTTGTTTAATGCGATCCATGAACTTTTGGTACATATTCAATTTATACCGATTCCTCACGAGATTAGATGAGGTCCTCCCCTTTCCTCTCCCCTTCTGAAGTGGTTGTACGTGCCACCAGAGACTAAAAAAATTTGAAGTTTGACACTACTAAAACGTGCCAATCTTCAGAGAGAAAACCTAAGTTTTGTAAGGGAAATGAGTTGTTTGCAAAGACACGCGATTCACCTTAGACGCTTCTGTCACGGATCTTCGTATTGAATCTGCACAGCAGATTTTGTCATTGGCATCTTAATGTTGACTGAACCATAAGGAAAATAAAACGTGGATAGCGTAGGAAGCCAGTCAAATTTATGCTGCCGGGAGGCTTTCAGCAAAGACGAAATGGAAAAGGATCGGAGAAAAAGAAAAAAAGAAGGGTTGGCTTTGAGGGCCCCATATTCTACATTTTATTTTAATTTTTAGCAATCAAAGAGCCATAATCAGTGATAATTTCCCATTTTTTATACAAATGATTTTGGGGTTTGGTGATCCTAATACCATGGGCCTTTTTAATGTCACATGGTGCAATTATATACTCATGAATACAAGCACGCAGAGGCCGACTTTCCTTGGATCTTTAGTGTTCGATTAAGAGATTAAGGGCCCGTTTGGCAAGTTGCCAAATAGTGAAAATTTCTATTTTTTTGTTCCCAGAATCAGTTTGAGAACAGAAATCCGTTTGTTAAAATTTTTGTGTCCGGGCACAAATTTGCAAAAAATTATTCCTAGAATCAGTTTTGGAACAGAATCAAGAAGCAAAAAAAAAATAGATTTTTGATTCTGAGAACAAGAATCAAAATTGGAAAAGAAAATTTTTTTTTCTTCTTCTTCTTTCCCGTTCTTTCTGTTCTTCTTCTTCTTCATTCTCCGGCCATCGGCCACCGGCAAGGGCTGGCGAGGGCGTCGCGACCCTC